ATCCCTAGGGAAGTATGTAGCTGTGTTTCCTCTTTTGTCTTGAGGTGTGGCCCAAATGGGAGTTTCTGTCTCTTCCAAGTTGCAAAGTCACCTTGTCTTTCATATTGTCTTTGAGGGCCTGGCTCTGTCTGACTGCCTAGAATATTTCTATCTAATTCAGCTGCCTACAACATTGCCCCCTCTGAAGAAGTAACCCGAACTGCCACCAAGGTGATGACTACTCTGGAAGCAGGTTAGATAACTACATGGAACTGTAACTTGGAATTTTGTCACTTAACACAGCAGATCGTGTGCCCATTAAGGGGTGGCAGTTGCCACTGCAGCTTTGAGAAATGCTGAAGACTAAGTTCAAGGGAATCAGGACCCATTAAATAGAGGAGGTAAACAGGATCTTGAATAGGTGGCTCTGGGTTTTCCTAGTGGGACCCTCTGAACAACATAACTGATCCCCTGCAATTGTAGGGTCACATCTAAGGCCTGGAGGACTTTCTTCCATATAACTCCAAGAAACTAAATGGAAGTTGTTATGAAGAGACAAAGATGCCTCATTCTTCCCACCGCACTAGTGATGACTGAACTCTGGGAATAATGAGCTACATCCCCCAAATATTTTACACTTTAGACACAAGATCTTAAGATACTGCCCAGTCTTCTTTTGCACTCCTGCTGCAAGCCTGGGCATGGTGACATTAGCCTGTTATTCCAGAATTAGGGAGTCTGAGGCGTGAACATCACTCTGAGTTTAAGGACATATTGGGCTACATAGTTAGTTGAGGACCAGCCTGATACAAATAGCTAGATCCTGTCTCAAGAAAAAAAAATAGTGCAGAAAATAAAACACAGCAAAATACACAAGCTTTGTGATCATCCTGTCTCTGCTTAAAATATTACTGTTACTAAAGGCATGGATGAAACATTTAACTCAGTTGTAATGTATAGAGTCCAACACTAACCCTGAGGGCATGTTGGGACACAATCTTCGGTGCTCCAAGTGGTATAAGCTGGGTTTCCTTGAGATCAGCTGAGGGAAGTGGATCGAGAAGTTCAGATTTAAGACAGGAGCCTCTGCAAAGCTGCCAGCATAGATCTTACGGAGAGATGAGAGTGGAACACATTGCCAAGTCTCCTTGGGGAGTCTTGAGAGGAGTAAATGATTCCAACCCAATATCCCACCATCCTAGTGAATCTGACCTATAGCTTTTGCTTTTAGTATCAAAGTTCTTCTCCCAAGGGAAACTGTCCAGGCAAATCAGAACCACAGGCAGTAGCCCAGGCTTTCAGTCTTTAAAAAAATAATATGATATTGACAAAACTTCAGGTTGAATAGAAAGAAGTTCAGAATCTTAATTTTATTTATTTAAGTGTGTGTGTGTGTGTGTGTGTGTGTGTGTGTGTGTGTGTGGCCAGCTCAGCCCACCAGGGGGCGGGGCTGGCTGGCATGTGGTGCTGGGGGAGTGAACCGCGGTCCCTGTGCTTTGCTAAGCTTGTTCTAAGTAGGTGCTTTAGACCACTGAGCCATCTCACCAGCCCGAAGTTCAGAATCTTTATTTATTTATATAGTACATGGTCTTGCTACACAGCTCTGAGTCATAGTGATCCTACTGTTTAAGCCTTTTCAGGGCTGGGATTGCAGGTGTGTGCCACCATGACCGTGTTTAGGGCCAGCATGGTACACGTAGGGTTTAAGGGCTGCCAAGGGATGTGGTACTGAGGATCCAATCCAGGTCTCTGTACTTGCCAGAGGCCCTTAGACAAATGGGCTATATCCCCAAATGAAGAAGTTCTGAAATTGAGAATATCTCAACAGAGAAAATCTTTTTTTTTTTTTGGTGGAATCGGGGATTGAACACAGGCCCTTGTGCTTGACAGGGTTGTTTTGATTTCTTATGAGTTTTGTGGCACTAGTGGTCAAGCAATAAGACTTTGCCCAGAGAAGCTTATCTGTTCCTTGATTTGTTTTTGTGTTCTTTGCATACAACATGAGGTCACTGCAGCTCCAGGTGAAAAAGGCTGCCCTTGGGAAGTGAAGTACATTGTCAGCAGAGCCAAGGCTTAAATACCGAATCTCCCAGACCCATCCATGACCAGTGTCCAAGATTATAGTGTCAGGTTAACGCTATAATCCAGGGTCCCTGAGAAAGAGTATTTCCCATTATTATTATTTTCTTTTTTTAGACACAGGATTTTACTATGCAGTTCATGCAGGACTTGAGCTCACTTTGTAACCTACACTTGTCTCAGACTCACAATTATCCTCCTGCTTCACCCTCCTGAGTGTTGGCATTACAAGCACGTGTCACCATGCTCAGATGCCCATTAAACTTAGACTGTTCCTTGCCCTGCGGTCAGCTCTTGTGCCACAGGATTCTGTCACCAAATGGATTCATATCACAGAAGCTCATGTGGGCTCATTTTCCCTAGAAGCTTTCATTTGTTTCTTACTCCTTGGGCTCACCATTGTCCTCCCACAGAAATCTTGTTCCTTATCACATCTCCTGCACTATCTAGTGAAAACTTGCTTTAGAGAGTTGGCCACTGAAATACGTTGCAGGTTGTCAAAGCTTAATCTAGGACTGGAGAGATGGCTCAGTGGTCTAAAGCACCTACTTAAAACAA